CGTATCTTCTAACTTATACATCAGTTATAGTATATGTAACTGTATTATCTGTATGTAACCATACATAACTGTATATAACTTCTAACTGTGCAATCAACCACAGGACATTTCCACACTCAGATATAGAACTCCTGCTACCTATTCTCAACGGACTTGTGATTAAGGAAAAAGAATCGGCAATGTCTACTGAATAGAAAAAGAATCCAAACTGTCCCATAATCGAGGTATCATCCACTGGAAACTGGTTTTAACCCAATAACCTTCAAGCTCAAGATTTCAATTGACTCTAACATAGATGCGATGGTAGCAATATTGAATGGTTTAAAAATGCTATTTTCTTGTTATTCTTGTACTTCTTTACTCATAGCTCTGATTCAAAAGATACTTAAAACTTAATTTGCTATGAATCAGAATCAAAATGAGAAGAGCCATGGTAAAAAGAGCTGATAACAAAGAGAAAAAGCATATGTATTCGTTTATAACTGCCCATTCAATACTTCAGCAAATATTTAATGTGTGGCTGTAATATACTGGTCACGTAGAAAGATGCTAAGATAAAAAAAGTATGAGCAAAGTACTACCCCTGCACTAAGAGCTCACAGTTTAATGGAGAAAAGATGCACGTAACAACAGAAAATCCCTCACTCCAGCCGAGGAAGAGATGTGAGAAAACTGAGTCTTGAAGAAAGATCAGAGAGAAAATTTTGCTTCCAGTAAAGCCTGAGTTAGTCGGAGAACACTGAGAACAGCTAGAACACTGGACAAAAATATAAAGAATGTGAAGGCGTCAGAGACCTAACATGTCGGCTAACAAATGAATGTATGAGGCCAAGATCCAGTAGAGAAAGGAATTCCAGGGGCCAGCCCGGTGGCACAGTGGTAAGTCCGTGTGCTCCGCTTCAGTGGCCCAGGGTTCACAGCTGGGATCCCGGGTGCGGACCTACACACTCCTCATCATGCCAGGCTGAGGCATGCCTCACATACAAAACAGAGGAGGATGGGCACAGATGTTAGCTCAGTGACAATCTTCCTCAGCAAAAAGAGGAGGATTGGCAACAGATGTTAGCTCAAGGCCAATCTTCCTCACCAAAAAAGGAATTCCAGAACTACAACTAAGCCTGACATCTGGGTTTCCTGGGTTCATCCATGAATTGAAGACAATGCAGAGACATAAGGAGGCCGAGCAGAACTTCTAAGAGATCCTGGGTTCAAAGCAAAGTGAAGTGGAGTTCAAGGCTGCCAATGAGGGAGCTTCTAGTAAAAGCCCTAGGCTTGGGGTGAGACTAGAAAGAGCTGTGCACTTGAAGTGCCAAACAAGCAATACAGTGTCCTTTGAAGGGACAAGGCCATTTTTGAATGATCTTAATTGCTGATTGGATTAAAGTAATGGCAACAAGTTAGAAATAAACTCAATCTTTTCTGCAGGAAAACATTATCCTAGGCCTCTAATTTCCTCTATAATTATCATATACAATGTTCACCACTCAACCAAAACTGACGAGGCCCTCCACAAGGCATTGTGATCAAAATCTAAAAGACAAAAGAAACGGACCCATCAGGTATCCACATAATGGAATTATCGCACAGACTTTAAAAATATTGTGCCTTATATATTCAAGGAAGTAAAAGTGAAAACTAGGAATTTTAGTTCCTAGAAACTATAAAACTGAAATTAAGAACTCAGTCATTGATTTTAGCAGCAGATTTGACAACTCAAGTGAATTTTAGCACACTAGAAGATAGGTCAGAAAAAACCCCATCCAGAACAAAGCAAATACAGATAAGAATGTAGGAGACACACTGGAAATAATAAAAAATATTTAAGTGGAATCTTCAAAGGAAAAGAGAGAATGAAGCAGAATCAATATATGAAGACCCAAAAATTCAAGAGGTGCTGACGACCCCAAGTAACATAAACGCAAAAGAGCAAAGAAGGGGGAGGGGAAGGGAGCAGAAAAAACAAAAACACCCACGCCAACGCACCTCCCACCAAAACCGCTGAAAACCCAAAAGAACGTCTCCAGGCAGCAAGCGCAGGAGTGAGACATGTGAACAGGGAAAATAAGACTGACAATGGATTCCTCAAAGAAACTTTAAAAGCAGAAAGTAACTGGTTATCTTTAAAGGCTGAAATCAGAAAACCGTGAAAATCCTACAGCCAGTAGAAAGATCCTTAAAAAATGGAGTCAAAATAAAGATGTTTTCATACAAAGATAAACTGTCAAATCTGTCACTACAGCTTGCTCTTCAAGTGCAATGACCGTGACCCCACATGGAAGGTGGGAGACGCGGGGAGAAGGAAGAGCTGCCAGAAATGCGTGTGCCGATCGGACGAACGCTGCCGCGAAAGCAGCGTAAGAGGAAATCACAACATCCTGCGGAGTTTAAGTAACAACACATTACCACAACAGTTCCAAGTCAGGAGGGGGCTGAAGCCCAGGAAGAGGTAAATCTTTATGTCAGACTTTAAGTGCAGGGTATAGGTTGTGGTCTTTAGGGTAATTACATGAAGACAAGTACCAAGCTTAAACAGGGGGAAAGCAGATTAAAAATACTGAAGCGATCCAGAAGACAGGAGGGAGAGAAAAAGGAACACAGAACAGGCCATCAAGTAGAAAGGAAATACCAAGAGGCAGATGTAAACCTAAATATATATTTAGGAGTTACAAGAAAAAAACGATTACTCATCCAGTCTCTATTGCTACCTACCATTTACGCCACAACTCACCCCAAAAATGATCTTAAGGAACATACAACTTGAGTAGGCAGGAGACTGCCAGGAGGAAATAACGTAAAAGGACACCGTCACTGCAGAGAAAGCAACAGGCACGACGACAAAAAGGCTCCGAGTGGCATGAGGAAGTGTGTTCAGTGTGGCTGCAGGTCAGGAAGCATGAGAAGGAGCTGCAGGAAACGCACCTGGAGAGGCAGCTCAGGACGACTGAGAGCAAGAGCCCTGTGTGCCTGCTCACGAGTCAGGAATTGACCCGGGAAGGGAATGGGGGCATCCTGGATAGATTTTACGCACATGACATGGAATAGACTTGTATTTTACAAAGTCCACTCGAGTGGTTGCAGAGAAAATAACCAGAGTTTGGAAGAAAGGGTCTAAGAAAGAGAAAGTGGAGCAAGGCGATTAGTTAGGGACTGGCAGGAAAGATGATATATGGGCCTGGACTAACACAGTGACTCGGGGGATGGAGAGCAGGGTACGAAGCAGCCATGGTGACTGCGTGCATGCGGGAGGAACTGAATAAAACAGTGCCACAATGACTGTACCCTCAAGAAAAACAAACGCCATTTAGGTAACTCAACTTACTGCTGGTAGCAGAGAAGTGCTCTTTAAAACAAAAGGTAATGAAACAAGAAATACTTCTCTGAAGCAGGCCAGATATTTAGATCCGGCGTGAACAAAATCTGGAAAATCTAAACTGACTGCTTGGTGAGCAAAGAATTAGAGAAAAAGTTAGCAGTGGACTTCCCTTGTTTAATGGCATCAGGCAATAACAGCCTAAGCATTTTAACAGGATTAAATTTGCTCAGCAAGACAAGCTTCCTCACAGACTGCCATATATGCCGAAGAATAAAGTAGAGGAGCCAGCACAAACAGCAACTGCCACTGACAACCTATTTTTAGAGAACTCAGGTATTTTTGTGGAGAAAAAAACTTACAATGTTCTACAGAAGTGCATCTTTCAAAAACTACCTACCTCCAAATTTGAGATGTATATTTCAGATTAACACCTAAATAAACACACCCAACAGGTATTTCTGTATTTAAAACTCCCAACACCCTTGCCGCAATGTCAATATGTAACGTTTAGTCTGAGTATTTGATTATATTAAGTTCCAAACTCAATACCTTCAATATCTAAATATTCCTTTTGAAGTATTTATTCTACTAAAAATCATGTCATACAAACCGCTCCGCATTTTTAAAGTCTCTATTAAGAACTGGAAGAACACTGCAAGGCAAATCAGAATTACACAACTGACCACAGAGAAAGAAAAGTGAAATAAGCGGGGGAGCCATAAGAGGGTGTGGATCTTCAAAAAAAGCCCTTCCACGGTAGTAACTGCTCTTAGTTCCAGGAAACCACTCCCCTCTCAAATAAATTACAGGCAACAATTTCTGACAACTGGTTACAATGGAAAGAAAAATGCAAGCTATGGGAAACGAGGAAGAAAGAAAGACAAATCTACACTGATTATAGATGGTAAATCCTCTTAAAAAAAAGACGGAATTATCAATAGCAGCACACGCATTTAGTTGTATGACCATACTGTTACCAATGAACCACGAAATCTTACTTCTGCAGAGCCATCTCCTTCTGCTGATAGAGCTCGTTCAGAACCTCCACTTTCTCCCTCAAGGTGCTGCACTCAGCCTCTAGTCCAGCTTTGGCAGCCTCCAGGGAACTGCGATCATCTTCTAATTTCTTTATTTGGTCTGTAAGGATAAAACATTCGAACCTTGTGTGCGCGCACAGGACCTGAGAACTTGCTGAGGGGGGATGCTAAGAGGCGTCAGAAACATGAAAGCAGGAAGCCATTCTTTATCCTTCCAGCGCAACTCTACAGCTTCCCAATATACAGCAATTTCTTCTCAAGAAGCGACCCACCTTTCAGGTTACACTCAGTGGACATCGACACTCTAAGCTTAACTTGTGAAAGTTTTAGATCCTCTTCAACCACCGATATTGCAGTTTGGGTCTAAAAATTGCAGAAGAGAAAGAAGTATTCTTAAAAGCACAGTCTAATAAGAAGTCACAGGCACCTAGGGGCTCGATAGAAAGGATTATACCCGAGAAATGTCCATCGTCTGCTTAATTTGATTTTTCATCCTCTCACTCTGGTCACCTGAAAGACAAATGGCTTTAATCACTTCTTCCTCCCTTGCTTTTTAACTATATTTCCTTGATTTCCCCCAAACTGAACAAGTACCATGTTCAAACATTCAAAATAAAAATAAATTAACTAATAGAACTGATTAGACCACTTGATTTTTACGAGAACCACACACTTAGATTCAACAAGCGAATTCCCAGTTTGTACAATAAAAATGTTACCCATGTGGTGCTTGAGCAAGAAGGGACGTGTGAGGTGAAGCTCCTTCTTCTCTCTCAGCTCTACTCCCCATGGTCAAGTATCTTATTTACAAAGACTCCCCCACTCTGTTCTCCCCTTGAATCCGCTACCAGGTGTGGTTTAAAATCCCCACTACGAAAGCAATATCCGGTCTGGGAACCAGTGACTAGAAACACTGCTACCCTTTAGCCTCTGCTCTCATGGCCTTAGTTAGTTTGTGGCTCCCACCACCTCAGTACTCTTAAAACTGGTGGTAGGCCTTAAAACCACAGAGCTACAGACATGATGAGTGTTAAATTCAAATGTCATCTCCACAAAGCTGAGAAACAAGTTTCTCCCACTGACCAGCATTCAGTACTCAGAGGTCTAAGACATGACTAATGTTGCTCTAGCTCCAGGGTCCACATCTGGTTCTCAAAGGGATGGGAAAGCAAAGTCAGTGTTCACTGCATGCCTACTGCTATACCCACAATCCAGCAACGCGCCTCTGCCCAGTGCACACAGAGGACAGACAAGTGCAGTGACGGGTCTACAACTCGAACGCTGAAGAGGAAATTTAGTCAGCCAAAAAGGAGCATCATGTACTTAATTAAAGACGGGAAAGCAAAAAGAGGTCCAACTTCCCTGAAACCAGTCTTACCTCCCACTTCCCCGTTTGCTAATTCACCGGGCTCATTTCCTCCTTTATTTTGACCCTCAGGTTCAGAAAACGTGATCATTTCAAGGATATGTCATTTGCAAAGAGAAACAGACAGAAAATACAAGCATATTGATTTACATCTCTGTTCCTCAAGTTACCTCCTTAAATAAGTATACACTACACTAATTAAACTATCAGCACAGGAACACTGTTCCCATGTAATAAACCTGCATTACCTCAACATTCAAAGCCCGTCTGCCCAAAATTAAACTAGTCATCTTCTTCCTACTCCCACAATTTGTTCTACCTCGTCTCCTATCTCAGCTGGCAGCATCACCATGTACTTTGTCATCCCAGCTAAAAACCTAGGATAGGCAAACCTTCTGGAGTTAGTAAGTCGATCAGACATCGTAAGGCACTGTATCTACTTCCAGCTTACATAAAACTCATATTGAACACCAATACTGAGGAAATAGTACAAATAACAAAATAAGCTTCAATATTTATGTTGGTATACTCTATTCTTTACCTAAAAGTAAGAGAAATAAAATCAAGCTTAAATATTTACCTTGGTACATTCTACTCTTTACCTAAAAGAAAGAGAAATAAAATTAAATTTGATGTCAAAACTTTTTATTAATAGAAACAGTACATTTCCTAATACAACAGTCAAATTATAACTAAATGAAAATTTAACAAGTTTGGTTCAGCATAATGATCCAAGGATAAAAAATAACGTTAAAAAGTATTTCAAGGGGCTGGCCCCGTGGCCGAGTGGTTAAGTTCTCGCGCTCCGCTGCAGGCGGCCCAGTGTTTCATTGGTTTGAATCCTGGCGCGGACATGACACTGCTCATCAAACCACACTGAGGCAGCATTCCACATGCCACAACTAGAAGGACCCACAATGAAGAATATACAACTATGTACCGGGGGACTTTGGGGAGAAAAAGGAAAAAAATAAAATCTTTAAGAAAAAAAAAGAATAAAAGTATTTCAAATGTAATCAGTGATACTTCATAAATAGTTTCTGATAGACAAAAGCACTAAGGTAAATACCTCATTTTGCAACTAAAGATATGTTTATATCTCTATTAAATGAGCACCAATCTTATTTAAAAAGCACTCAACTTTAATAATGAACATGGATATGGGGTCAGCCCTGTGGCCTAGTGTTTAAGTTCTGCGTGCTCCACTTTGGCAGCCTGGGTTCGGTTCCCAAGTGGGACCTACATCACTGTCGGCAGCTGTGCTGTGGCGGCAACCCACATACAAAATAGACGAAGATGGTATGGGATGTTAGCTCAAGGCAAATCTTCCTCAAGCAAAAAGAGGAAGATCAGCAACAGCTGTTAGCTCAGGGCAAATCTTCCTCAGAAAACAAAGAAAAGG